TGCCATCTCAGTCCACTGCTCCCGGCCCCTCCAAGAATGCTCTGAATTTCTACATATACAATAATTTGTACAAAATATGTACACTATTGCCTCAGCCAAGAATGAGGCTTTTGCATGAATGGTCCTGGGGAAGGGGAGGAGAGGTGAGAGGCCAGGCATAGCCTCCTGTATCTAGTCATTGAGTCTTGATAACTTTTTTTTTCTCCTTTTTTTTACAGAGACACTTTATTTTAAAGAGAGAAACATTAATCTGTTCTCCCAGTTATTACACACTTACTGGTTGTGTCCTGGATGTACCCTGACTGGGGATTGAACCCACAACCTTGGCATATTGGGACAAAACTTTATCAACTGAGCTACCTGGACAGGGCGATAATTCTTTTTTTTTAATGTCAGTTAAACATGCCCTCCTGCCTTTTTTGGCTCTGGGACCAGAAGGTATGGGTTGGAAATATAACCCTACTATTTACTGCCTTCCTTAATTTGGGTAAATGAATTCATCTTGCTATACTTGATTTCTCATAATAGTAGCTATTCTCTTAGAGTTGTCAGGCATAAATACTCTCATGAGTTGTGATCATCGTGCTGGATTCTTCTTTTTCTAATGCCATCACCAAGTCCTATGAAAATTGGGGGAAATTTCTCCACCTTGCAGCAGCTCTTTCTTCACAATGAGAACTTATGTGCAGGGCATTGTTCTAAGTACTTTATATGTAAATATTAACTTACTTAATCCTTATAATAATTCTATGAAGTAGATATCATTATTACCTTCATTTTTTAACTTAAAACTGAAGACCAGAAAAGTTAAGTAACTTGTCCTATGTCACAAAACTGGTAAGTGATAATATGGGATACAAATCTTTTTCTGCTCCAAAGTCTGCATACTTGACCACTACACTACAATGCCCTATTGCTCCCAACCCTATCAGAACATAAAATTCAACTCCCTGACTCCAGACACTATCATCTTGGGACAGACAGGGGCCAGAGAGCTTCTATTTGTTCCACTTGCACTCAACTCCATCCTTTATAAAATGAGGATAATTGTAGTTTACCTACCTCATAGGTCCTGTGAGACAATACATGTAAAACACTTAAACAGTGACTGGTAGATAATAACAACTCAATGAACAGTAGTCATTTGTATTATTACTAATGGGTCACTAAAGTACAGCTGGCAAATACAATGCAGATGGGAGAAATCTCTTTCATCTCTGTCCTTTAGGGGAAGGGAAGAGATGCCATGAATGAGAGATGAGGACACTTTCTTATCTTCGACCCATTGCATAAGCTGTTTCCTTCTTCTGGAAGGCTAGTTGTCATTGTCCCAATTCCTATGGGATGTCACCCAGCCCAAATACCACCTTTTCTATGAAGTATTTCCAGATAAAGTGCTGAATTTCACCTAATCTTAGCCAAATGGCTGAAAAGCAATCTCTCACTGCTGAATTTCTACATATACAATAATTTGTACCTCATGTTCTGCCCTGTGTACCTGCCCAACCTCTCCACTGTATTGAGAGCTCCCCAAAGGCAGGCCCCAGTGTTTACCCTGTGATCTGTTACCCCCTTTCTTTTCTTTTTTAAAAATATTTTATTGATTTTGTACAGAGAGGAAGGGAGAGAGATAGAAACATCGATGAGAGAGAGTCATCGATCAGCTACCTCTTGCACACCCCCTACTGGGGATATGCCCGCAACCAAGGTACATGCCCTTGACCGGAATCGAACCCGGGACCTTTCAGTCCCCAAGCCGATGCTCTATCCATTGAGCCAAACTGGTTTCGGCTCTGTTACCCCTTTTCGACCTAGAGAGAAACAGAATCCCTTAGAGGAAGTTGAGGCCCTATGGAGGGCTGAGAAGCCAAGTAGGATGGGGTGAGGCAGTTCAGAGCAGTTGGGGCAGATAGCCTCTCCTTGGGCTAGGTAGAGAGAAGATAGGAAGGGGAAGAGGAAGAAGGTGCAGGAAGGTGGCCTGAATCTGAATGAGGTGTGAGATCTGAGAAATTTAGAGATTTCTAGCCAAACACAAGAGCTGCCTATGCTCTGATGATTCCCAATAACTTACAGAGGGCAGATCTCACCTTGTGGGATTCTGAGACTAACAAGACACATCCCCAGTATCTCCCAAACTCCATGTCCAGTGAGGGTGGGTCAAAACTATAAGGAAGATGAGTGGTGCTCTAGGCAGTATAATAAAGGGCTCTAGGCAGTAAGACACAGAGAATGAAGATTTGCAGGTGTTTTAAGGGGAGGGTGCCTATGTGAAGGACAGATGAGTAGATAAGAGATTTTGGAGGAGATAGCAATCTGAAGCAGAAGCACCAAAGACTGGTGTGGAGGGAAGCCAGAAGAAAGTCCTAGAAGATCTGAAAGGAAACCATTTAAAAGTAGACTCTGAAGTAACTGCTGCTCAGAAGGTGGGGCAACTTTGTGGAGAAGCTAGAAGTGGTTTGAAGGGGTCTTTCTGGAGGGTGGGCACTTCACAAAGGGTACTCCCAGGAAAATGGGGTGGGCAGTAGGGCATAGTGGACATCTTTTGGGGGCTTTCTGTGGGGAGAGGGAAATTCTCCTAGAGGCAGTGGTTCTCAAACCACTTTTATCAGAATCACCAGGAGGGCTCCTAAAATCAGGCTGCAGGGCCTGACTCCAGGTTTTCTGATTCGGTAGGACTGGAGTAAGGCTTAAGAATATGCATTTCTAATAATTCCCAGGTGATGCAGATGCTGCTGGTCAAGGGACCACACTTTGAAGCCCATTACTATAGGGAAGAGATTCTTTAGTGAGGAGGCCTCAAAGGGGAAAAGGACGGTGGGAGCTTCTGGAAAGAAAACGGGCAGCCCTCAAGCGGTCTCTAAGGAGGGTGTTAAGGGTCCCTTCATCTCTGAAGGGAGGAGGGGCTCTCTGAGGATGGAACCTAGAAAAAATGGTCGGAGAGAAAGGTCTTAAGGACTGGGATTTCAAAGGGTGGAGAATGCCTCTGGACAAACCTCTTATTGAAAGGGGATCTGGACCCTCTTGGGAGGGTTGTCTGGAGGATGTGGGGCCTGGGAAGGGACTATGGGTAAGGAGACTCAGATCTGCACAGGACCTCTAGGTGATTTCAGGGGAAAGAGAATGGAGGAGATGAGAGGGTTCTAAAGGGAAGGGAGCCCAGGAGGGTTTGAACAAGGTTTTGGGGGCCGTGGGCGGAGACCCCAGGGAGATTCTGAGAAGTCTGGCCAGAGGCTGGGGCTGGGAGCATTCTTGGAGGGGCCGGGAGCAGTGGACTGAGATGGCAGATGTGTCCTTTCAGAACCTCGCTAAGGCCGCAAAAGGGTGCGTGGGGGGAGAGCCTACTGAGGGAAAGTGGATGTCAGGTGGAGGGCTCTTGGGGAAGAATTCTGGAGGCAGGGTTAGCAGGGGTGCGAGAGGCTTGGCGCTCGGGCAGCCTCGGAAGCGGCAGTGAGGCAGGTTCTCCCCGGGAGGGCTCAGGAGGTGGCGGGGTCTCTGAGGAGACTGAGATGTTGAAAACCTCAGAGGGGGCACGAGGAGCCTGAGGACTTACAGTGCTTGTGAGGATGTTAAAAAGTTCACCTAAAACTGTGTGTTGTGGGGGGGGGGGGGAAGCTTATAAAGTAAATTTTTGCATTCAGAAGCAATTTCTGGAACATTTGGTGTGGGTTACTGGGAAAGGTTTGGGATACACAAATGGGGTTTGGGAAGAGGTTTGTGGAACTGGAAGGAAAGCTCTCCACAGATCTGAGCCTCTGAGGAAGGTTTTCGGGGCACGTCTGGGGCATCCTGAGGGATTTGGGGGCAGGAGTCCTGAGCCTGGGGGTTCTGAGTGAAGCATCTCGCAGGTGACTTTTGGTCGGGGTAGGGGGGAGGGGAGTCCGGGAGGCGGTGGGAAAGCGGCCTTTGGGGGAGATTTCAGGAATGTCCGGGTCTGGAGAGGTTGGGGGGGGGTTCTGAAAGGCGATTTTGGGGTCTCGCGGGGAAGAGACATCTGATCCGCACTGCTGGGTGTCCGGCGGCCGCGGGAACGTTTCTGGGGGGAGGATGGGGATTCGGGGCCAGAGCGGGGTTCTCGCAGCCGATTTCCAAGACCCGGGACAGGGTCCGGGGAAGCCTGCGGGCATGGCAGGGGTGCGATCCGGGGAAACCTGGGGCGTCGGAGGGGGCGCGAGGGGAGTGTCAGGGTCTCGGAGGTCGCCGGGGGCCGCCCTTCGAGGAGGCGCCTGAGGTGGCCGTGGGGGTCGATTCCGAGGATGTGAGGGGGTCCGGGAGGGAAGCTCCGAACGGCCTGTGGGGGCCCCTTGGGGGCCGGGGTGGGGGCCCCGCGCAGGGGCCGGGACCCTCAGGCCCGCGCTCCGCGCCCGCCGCTGCCCGCGGCTCGGGGTCCCTGAGGGGGCGGGGCCGCCCGCGCGGCCTGGGGCGCCCTGAGGGGAGACCCGCGCGCCCCGACCCGCCGCGGCCCCGGGCCGCCCGCCCGCCCGCGACTCACCGCCTCGGCCGCCGCCGCCGCCGCCGCTCGGGCCTCCTCAGGCCACCGCCGCCGCCGTCCGCTCTCCAGCCCGCGAGCTCCCCTCCCTCCTCCCGCACCGACCACCGCCGCCGCCGCCGCCGCCGCCGCCGCCGTCGCGCTGCGTCACCGCGCCGTGCGTCACCGCCCCTGGTCCCGCCCCGGCGGAGCCGCCGCGCGCCGGCATTAGCAGAGGCCGCGGTGACGAGCCGCGCACCCGCCAACGGGCGGCGAGCGCGGAGGAAGGCCGGGCCCTGGCGGCGAGGGGAGCTGCGGAGCCGGACGAGGCCCAGGGGCCCGCCTCTTGCTCGGCGGGATTGGTCGGTCGGCGGGGGGCTGACGGTCAGGCGGCCGGCGGGAGGGGAAGGGGCGGGGCGCGCGCGGCGTTGCCACAAGCGACGGGCCTGGCTGAGCGCGGCGCTGGGCCTCCCGGCCCGCAGGGGGCAGTCCTGCGCCTCCGCCTCCGCGGCCTCGCCCTGTCACAATTCCCGATTCTGGCGTTGGAGCGGCTCCCGCCGCGCCCCGCGCCCCGCGCCCCGCCGGGCGGCCTGGCCCTGCGGTGCCCGAGCGTCCGGCTGGCGCTGGGCTTCCGGAGCCCCGCTTCCCAGCGCGCCCCGCTCTGAGCTGCGCGGCCTCTTGAGCAGAATAGAACGGAGAGGCGATGCATGCGGAGCGCTGGGCACAAAGGAGGCCATCAATAAATGGGAGACGTTGCTCCGGCTGTTGTATCTGTTCGTTCATTCTACAAATTCCCTGGCTCGGGGCGAACCACACAGGAGCTCTCAGGTGACTGAGACGTGGCTGTTGGAGGGACTCGGAATGCAGTCGGGTGGAGTATAGGGTCCAGCCAGGGAGCGGTGGGACGTTTGGCCACTTGAGCGGACTTGGACTTGTCCTGTGGGCACGCCGGAGCCATAGAAAGGCTTGGAGCTGGGAAGAGTCATGGTGAGCTGGGGGTTTGGAAAGATGTCTCTGGCTCTCTTATTGGAGGGGACCGAGTACAGGGAAGCAGCAGGGACGGGAGAGGGGCGTTTGCACGAGGGTGGGACTGGGAAGGGGCGGAGTCCGCGGAAGGACGCTGCGTGAACGGGCTGGCCGGGGACTGGTGGCTGCAGCAGGCGATGGGGACAGGAATCTAAGATAAAGCCCTCTGGCTGGAGGTTGGGGGGCTCCTGAAAAAGAGATCAGAAAAGATGCAGGCTCTGAAGATTCGGAGCCCAGTGTGGGCCGCCGGCAGCAGGGCCCGGGAGACTGCACAACTCCTGTGTCTGAAGCTTACAAGAGAAATTGGAGCCGGAAACCAAGATTTGAGGATCATCAAAGAGTAACTGAAGCTGTGGGAATTAGTGACCTAGCCTGGGGAGGGTACGAAGTATGAATGGAAACAAGAACCCATCAGAACTCCGAGAAAAATGGAACATGGAGAGTTTGAGCAAAGAAATCAAGATTGAGAAGGAGCAGCAGAGAGGAGGAAAACCAGATGTGGCATTTCAAGCCAGGGTGGTGGGTGGCACAAACCCTGTCCACTACCCCTTCATCGAAGCAAGAGTTTTCACACCAGACAGAGTGATTGTGCACAATATATGCTGCTTTATTTATTCATTCAATAATCTTTCTTCTGTACCTAATATATGTCATGCATTGTTTAAGGTGCTGGAATTTCAACAACGAACAAGGCAGACAAACATATCTTCAGGAAGCCTACATTCTGATTGGGAGGTGGAGCACAAACAATACATAAACACTGTGTAACTTGGTGATAAGTGGTATGGAGAAAAATAAAGCAAGCTGACAGGATGGAGAAATGGGGTCAGTACTATTTTAGATGAGGAAAGACCTCTTATCAGATGGGATTTGAATAGAAATCTGGAGGAAATTAAAAGGCTGAACCACAAGGGAAAGACGTCTCCCGAAAGGGTTAATGGCAAGGGCAAAGGCCCAGGGCAGGATTATTCACTGAATCACAAAGGCTAGCGCAGCTGCAGTGAGCACAGAGGAGAGTAGTGGAAGACAGGGCCCAAGAGGTAATGGAGGAGGGGTTATGGTAGCTAACTTAGTTATAAAGGCTGCTTACTGTAAGGGCTTTTGCTTTTACCCCAATACTATGAGAGCCATGGGAGGGTTTTAAGAGAGGCAGTATCTCATTGACTTGGGTTTTATTTGGATCCTTCTGGTAATCCTATGAAGAATAGAGTGTGGGGAAAGGGGAGCAGGGAAACAGTGCAGAGAAGAGAAGGGGGGTTTCTCTCTAATTGTTCAGGCTGGAGATGAGGGTGGCAGGACAGGATATGGGTTGTGCAGGGGGAAGTGGGCAGGTTCTGGTTACATTTGGAAGGTCTAAGCTGACAAGTTCTAACATTGTCAAAGGAAAGAGAGGGTCAAGGATGTCTCCAAGATATCCAGGTGGAGGTGTCAGGTTGGCCACTGGATGAAGAATCTAGAGGTTAGGGGGATGCCCCGCTGGAGAAATTAAAGTAAGCTCTTTGAAAGGCAAGAGATGGATGAGAACAGGAAGAGAGGAGGTAGACGGGAGAGGTAGAAGGGAACTCTACTGTCAGGAGGAGGAGCAGAGAGGGGAGTGGGAGGAAAACCTGGTGAGGGTGGTGTCCAGAAAGCCAAGTGGAAAAAGCTGAGTGCAGGGAGTGATGGATGGTGTCAGATGGAGAATGAGAATTGACCACGAGGTCTAGCACCATACAGGTCATCGGTGGCCCTGTTGGTGGAGAAGGACAGAATGAGAGTCTGCTGGGAGAGACTCTCATTCTGTCTGGAGAAAAGGGGCTGGGAAGGAAAAATTGGGAGGAAAAATTGCAAATAGCAAGTGTAAGCAATGTGTTCAAGAAGTCTTGCTAAAAGGGGAAGGAAATGAATGGGCAGTGGCTGGGCGGGAGATAGGGTTTTCAGTTTTTAAGATGGGAGAAGTAACACTGCCTGTGTGAGGAAAAGACCCAACGGAGATGGGCTATGGGTGATGCAGGGAGACGGGGGATAGCTGAAGTGATGCCCCTGAGCCGTTGAAGGGTGGGGTCCAGCGTGAAGTAGTGGGAATAGAAAGGCTTGTCCACTGCTATGGAGGGAAGCAGCCATTATGGGGCTGGGATCTGCAAAAATTCTCTCGTGTTTACTGAAATACGTAGGGTTTCCCTATAAATTACTTTTTCATTTCTCCTTTATATGACAGATCATTATATTGATTTAAAAAAACGTGTATAAGTAGGGTACATTATGTAGGAATTTCATTTCAGGATGAGACAGGAAGCAATACAAAACACTTAATTAGAAAGGGGGTGATAGTCTGACAAGATTGAACACCATTGTTGTAGAGCCCATTATAAAGCCCGTGAGGCTAACTTCAGGAAGAAATTCACCATTACTCTGCTGCTGTGGTGTCTCCTGCTTTCTTTCCATTTCTCCATCAACATAGTAGGTGAAAGTTTGACCAGCAGCTCCCCTTTTCAGTTCTGGAGTTAAAATACTCTAAGGGGGGGAGGGGGGAGGGAATCCAGGAAGGCTTCCTGGAGGAGAGGAGGTAAAGAGCTCCTTATTATCTTTTGTGTGTGGAGCATGTCCACCATGCCAGGAGACATGTGAAGCTATTTTATCCTCACAATAACCCTGAGTCAGAGAGTGAAGTTACTTAGTGATGGTCACATTTGAACCCCAGTCTAGGTGATTTCAAAGGCTCGCAGGTCCTGGCAGATGAGGGAAGGAAGGAGGGGGCGGAGCCCTCTGCAGCAGTTGTCTTAGAATGGGCATAAACAGGATGTGGTGCATGAAACCTTTCCCCTATCCCACAGCCCTCGCCCCACCCCTAGAAGACAGCGGAACTGAGAAAAGGAGAGGCCCGTGGACAGAAAAATCATGGTCAGGGGGCCTGGGGGGTACGGGTGGGCCTGGGTCCGGGAGGATGCCTGGGTGAAGGTCAGGCTGTGTGTTGGAGAAAAGGGGCTGGGAAGGGGACAGGCTGGGGGAAAGGACCAGGCTGGGGGAAGAGAAATGGTGGTTTAGCACCAGGTAAACAGATCTCGGGGTCTCCTTGAGTGTTGCCCAAGGATACCTGCTGGAGGGCTGGAATTTGGCCTCCGCTCTGCGATCCAAGCATGTGCCTGTGAGGGGCTGCACCGCCTGGGAGCATTCCTGTCCCTGTTAGAGACACTTCGGCTTGGGCAGGGGCAGGGCCGGGGACCGAGGCAAGGCCTGCTCACCTCTTTCTGGGCTCTGCTGCAGTCGGACTCCCTGGTGGTGTGCGAGGTGGACCCAGAGCTAAAGGAAAAGCTGAGGAAATTCCGCTTTCGAAAAGAGACAGATAATGCAGCCATAATAAGTGAGTGCCATTCTCTCTGGAAGGATGGGAGGGCGGTGGGGACGTATGAGGAGGGCTAGGCCAGAGTCACTGAGTTAGAAGGGGTGTCCTAACTAACCCCTTTGTGCCATCCCTCCCTAGTGAAGGTGGACAAAGACCGGCAGATGGTGGTGCTGGAGGAAGAATTTCAGGTGAGGGGCTGGGTGGATGGGCAGGGCGGGGCTGGGAGACCCAAGGGTCTGGCAGTGCGGGCTAGAAAGAGCTGGAGCTCAGATGTGATCTTAAGCAAGAGATGTATGGGGTTCTGCTTCCTCATCTATGAAATGGAGATATCAGTACCGTCCTCATAAGGTTGTTTGTGGATTCAATGATTTAATCTTTGTAATGGGTTTAAAGGCCTGGCACTTAGTATATGCTCAATAAAATGATAATACTTTATTGGCACTTAAAGAATTTTCAGATAAATTAATAAAAAGCTAGTAGGAATCCTTTATAATATACTAGAGGCCCAGTGCACAAAATTCGTGCACGGGGTGGGGGTGGGGGTGGGGGTGGGTGCTCAGCCAGGCCTGCACCCTCTCGCAGTCTGGGAGCCCTTGGGGGATGTCAGACTGATGGCTTCTGGCTGAGCGGTGCTCCCCCTGTGGGAGTGCACTGTGCACTGACCACCAGGGGGCAGCTCCTGTGTTGAGTGACCTCTGGTGGTCAGTGCATGTCATAGCATGCTGTTCAGTTGATTTGCATAATAGCCTTTTATCGTTTAGGATACCTTGCCCTCTCTTGGCCTCACTGTCTTTTTCTATAATGTGGGAATGATAATAAGGCTTACTTTATAGTATTGTGGTAAGGATTTAGGGGGTGGCTGTGGAGACTGAGGCTGGGCTGTTTGACAGGGGAGGGGGATTGGCTAGGAGTTGGGCTCCCTCTGGTCTTCTAAAAGGAGGTGTAGTAAAGTGGTTATGATTTAAACCCAGATGCATATTTGAACTCCTCTGCTCTGAGTTGCTGTGCAATCTAGGACAAGTGTCTTAACACCTCTGGGCCTCAGCTTGCTCACCTGTCAAGTAGGGATAATAATAGGTCCTACCCCACAGAGTTATGGAAGAGCTCAATGAATTAGTCCATGTGTGTTACTTAGACCAGTATCTTGGCACATTAAATGCTTGTTTAAATTTCTTCTCTCCTGTTTTTTCCCCTCTTCCCCCAGGACATTTCTCCAGATGAACTAAAAATGGAGTTGCCAGAAAGACAGCCAAGGTATATATTGGGGGAAGGAACAGGAGGGTCAGGCCATGGGGAGAAGGGTGTTGATGGGGGTGGAGACTGAGGGGACTGCTTGATTCCAGTCCTATTAACTAGCTTGGGATCTCTGTGTTTGAGGCCAAGAGTTCTTATCCTAGGACTTTGTGTACAGTATACTAATATTTTGTTGCAGAATTTTACACTGATAATCAATGTGAAATTAGAGCTTGCTTTTTTAAAAATAGAAACTTCGTCAGGTTTCAGCCTTAACATTGTTCTTGCCTCAGTAAATAAAAAGAAAGAAAATTTCCCTCTTTTTTTTTTTAATGCTACAGAATATTTCTGGTAACAAATAAATTATTTGACATTTAACAATTGGGGAAAATCTTGTGTGAAGCCATATACGTTTGGTGCTTTTTGTGTTTGGAGGAACACTTTGACACTTCTATGGTAACTGGTCTGTGCAGACTTTCCATCTCCCCCGAGGTGAGTTTTGGGTGCCTGAGGATTTTGAGCCTCCATCCTAGCCAGAACCAGCCCCTGGGTGTCTGACAAGTGCAGTCCCACAGGGCCCCTGTCTGGAAGGCAGCCTCGAATGTGGGAGGTAGTGCTCAGGCTGCCTGCTGTCTAGAAATTCTTTATAGTTTTATCTTTGAATCTGTGTTTTTTGTGAAGTCTCCTGAGAAACAGAGCTGTGCTAGGGCTTGGGGCAGTGCCACCTCCAGCCCTGGACGGTTTTCTCCACAACCTGCACCACCCAGTGAGGCCCTGGCAGGGAGCCTGAGTGCAGATTGCAGGAGAGTCAAGGTCGGACTCCTCCTGCTCCTGAATGAAAGTTCGAGCCCTAACCGGTTTGGCTCAGTGGAGAGAGCGTCAGCCTACGAACTGAAGGGTCTCAGGTTTGATTCCAGTCAAGGGCATGTACCTTGGTTGTGGGCACATCCCCAGTATGTGCAGGAGGCAGCTGATCAATGTTTCTAAGTCTCTACCCCTCTCCCTTCCTCTCTGTAAAAAAAAAAAAAAAAAAAAAAAAAAAAAAAAATATATATATATATATATATATATATATATATATATATATATATATATATAAAGACAAAGTTTCAGAGTGTGCCTGTAAGCATCTGCAACTCCCCTTTTAGTGTTCCCATGTCCAAGACAGCAAAGCTTATGGAAGAAAGGAAGAAGTTTTTCTTCTATCTTTTGAACAAGGGACCCCAAATTTTCAATTAGCATCAAGCTTGGCAAATTGTGTAGGCAGGCCTGGTCTCAGCCCCAGCTGGACAGTATCACACAGTAGTTGAGCACTCACAGTCTTGGTTCAAATGTACCAAAAGAACTTTGGGCAAGTGACTCCACCTCTCTGGGCCTCAATTATCCAATCTGTAGTATGGGGATAAAATAGCACCTTCATCATAAGGTTGTTGAGTTAAATAAGCACTTTTTTGTTTTGTTTATTCTCCCTAAGGATATTTTTCCATTGTCTTAGAGAGAGTGAAAGGGAGGGAGGAAGGTGAGAGAGAGAGAGACTGAGAGTGAGAAACATCACAGTGAGAGAGACACATTGATTTAGGTGCCTTCTGCAAGTGCCTGAACGGGCCAACGTCGAACCTGAAACCCAGTTATGTGCCCCTGACCAGGAATTGAACTCATGAACCTTTGGTGTGGGGGCCAGTGGTCTAACTACTTAGCAACACTGGCAGGGCAGCACTGACTATTTTTTTTAAGCCATTACGTTTTTCTTTTTTTTTCTTTTTCTTTTTTTTAAACATATTTTATTGATTTTTTACAGAGAGGAAGGGAGAGGCATAGAGAGTTAGAAACATGGATGAGAGAGAATCATCGATCAGCTGCCTCCTGCACACCCTCCACTGGGGATGTACCCTCAACCAAGGTACATGCCCCTGACTGTAATTGAACCTGGGACCCTTCAGTCCGTAGGCTTTATCTGCTGAGCCTAACTGGTTAGGGCACATTTTTCTTTTTAACATGTTTTTATTGAGGTCTATTGATATATGTCATTGCTGTATATGTCATTACTGTTTTAGGTGTACAGTGTGATTTGATATTTGTATATATAGTGAAATGATCAGCACAATAAATCTATTTAACATCTGTCACCACACATATTAGGTCTAGTAATAATTAACGTTGTTTTCTAATACCTTTTTTAAATCGAATTTATTTAAACAATACAACAAAATTTAATCAACAATATAGTTGCCGTTGTTTTCTACTACTTGTGCCCAACGCTCAGGAAGCATTTTAATCCCTCTGTTGTAAAATTCTTGTGATTTTGATGCAAAAAATGCATTTTTGAGGCATTCTTCATTATTAAATTTTTTTCCAAGAAGAAAGTTTTGCAAAGAACGAAACAAATGGTAATCGGAAGGGGCAATATCAGGAGAATATGCAGGTTGAGGGAGAACTTCCCATTCCAACTGGCGCAGTTTTTCAGCAGTGATTCTTGCAGTATGCGGTCGTGCGTTATCATGGTGAAGAATTACGCCCTTCCGATTAATCAGCGCGGGTTCTTTTTCTCTTAAAGCTTGGGCTAACCTTTCCAATTGGGCACTATACACTGCACTTGTAATGGTTTGGTTAGATGGTAAAAGTTCATAATGAAGAATTCCTTTAAAATTCCACCAAACACACAACATCACTTTTTTCGCATGCAAGTCAGGTTTTGGCGTGGGCTGCGGAGCCTCATTTTTGTCCAACCATTGAGGCCGCCTTTTCAAATTAACATACAGCACCCGTTCTTCATCTCCAGTAACAATTTGCTCTAAAAATGGCAAACGGTTTTGACGAGAGAGGAGCGAACTGCAAATTGTGACTCTCTGATTACGGTTGTTGTCGGTCAACTCATGAGGAACCCATTTTCCAAACTTTTGGACTTTGCCAAGTGCACGCAATTGATTGGAAATTGTTTTTTGTGAACAATTTAAAGTTGTCGCAAGCTCTTGTTGGGTAATTTGAGGATTTTGCACCAAAAGAGCTTGAAGAGCTTCTTGATCAAAATTGGACACACGGCCTCGACCACTCTTGTCATCTAACGAAAAATTTCCCTCGCGAAATTTCTCAAACCAACGCTGGCATTTTCTGGCGCTAACTGCATCTTGACCAAGAGCACTACAGATGTTTTTTGCAGCCTCACTTGCTTTTCTTCCTAATTGGAACTCGTAAAGCATGCAGTGCCGAATATGCTCTTCATCCGCCATCTTCTTAGCCCTAGTTTTGCAACAAAAACCAAACCAAACACAAACTTTTTCAAGCAAAACTTGTTAATTGTACTTCACACATTCTGTAGATACCACGTGTTTGAAGGTTATGTCAATACAAGTAAACGCCAAGCAAGATTTTAAACGAATGATAAAAAACGACATTAATTATTACTAGACTCGATAGTTACAAAAACATTTTTTTTCTTGTGATGAGGACTTTTAAGATTTATTCTCTTAGCAACTTTCAAATATGCAATTCAGTATTTTTAGCTACTAGAGGCCTGGTGCATGAAACTGTGCACGGGTAGGGTCCCTAGGCCTGGCTGGTGATTAAGGCCCATCCGGGCCTTCCAGCCGCTGGCCAGGGCCTCCCTTTTCCACCTGCTGGCTGCTGGCTGCTGGCTGCCAACCTGGGCCTTTTTTTGTTCTGTGCCGCCCTCTGGCGGTCAGCACAGTCATAGCAAGCCATCAAACTGCCTAGGGCAGTGGTACACAAACTGCATACAGTGTGACTGAAACTTTGTGGCCCATGTGCAAAAGTCGGTTTTCAGTTCTCAAAAGAAATTTCAATCGTTATACTGTTGATATTTGGCTCTGTTGACTAATGAGCTTGCCGACCACTGACCTAGGGCACACTTTGCATATTAGCCTTTTATTAGTATATATATAGACAGTCATCATGTTGTAAATTAAATCCCCAAGACTTATTTTATAACTGGACGTTTTTAACTTCTGACCCCCTCACCCATTTTGCCACCAACCCCCTCTCTCTGGCAACCACCAATCTGTTCTTTTTATCTATGAACTTGATTTTCTGTGTTTCTTTATTTTTATTTTATTAAATTCTAAATGTGAGATCAGAACAGTATTTTGTCTTTCTTTGTCTGACATATATATTTATGTCATTACTGTTTTAGGTGTTCAGACATTATTAGCATACTGTCTCAATGTTTCATCCATGTTGTCACAAATGGCAGGGTTTCCTTTCTTCTTAATGGCTGAATGGTATAAACCACATCTCCTTTATCCACTCATTCATCAATGGACATTGAGTTTGTTTCCATATTTTGGCTATTGTTAATAATGCTGTGATGGACATACAGTGCATATATCTTTTTGAATTTGTGTTTCATTTTCTTTGCATAATTACTCAGAAGTGGATCATATGGTACTTCTATTTAGTATTTACTATTATTGTTATTTTTAATCATTTATTGTATTTGAGGCCACTATCTTCAGTCTCAGTTATTAACCCTAGGTTCTCAGACTCATGCAAGATTTCAAGGTTGAAGACGTAGGTAATCGGCATTGGTTCTGGGTTTCAGGCTGAAGTCCTGAATTTGGCTTCCTTTTCACTGGTGTAGGTTCGTGGTTTACAGCTACAAGTATGTGCATGAAGATGGCCGAGTGTCCTACCCGCTGTGTTTCATCTTCTCCAGCCCTGTGGGTGAGACTCAGCTCTACCCATCCTGAGACTAGGGTCTGGGATTCTGTGTGGGGTGTGTAAGGTAGTGTTTGAGAGTACAGGTGTAGGGGTGTGTGTGTGTGTGTGTGTGTGTGTGTGAGAGAGAGAGAGAGAGAGAGAGAGAGAGAGAGAGAGAAAGAGAGAGAGAGAGAGAGAGAGAGAGAGAGAGAGAGAGAGAGAGAGAGAGAGAGACTTGGTAAGTACTGGGAGGGCAATGCATGGAAGTTGGGGGCTTAGATTCTCAGGAGCCCAACCCATCCTCCTCAGTCCCGAGATGTTAAGTAATCCTACTTTTTTTTTTTTTTTTAACCTAGAAATTCCTGTCTGGGAGTTATTCTGAGGGTCCCACCTCCAACGACCCTCAGAATAACTTCAAACCCCTAGACAAAACTGAAAACTGGGACTCCTTAGAAGAGCTCCAAGGACCCCTTAGAAACCTCCAGGGCCTGCAGGACATTACTGGCCCCTTAGAAAATGCTCTAGGATCCCCCGGTTATGTTTTCTTCTCCCCTTTTCCATGCAGGCTGCAAGCCCGAACAACAGATGATGTATGCAGGGAGTAAAAACAGATTGGTGCAGACTGCAGAGCTCACAAAGGTCTGGGCCTGGGGCCGAGGCTCCCAGAGTGTTAGGGAGGAGGGTCAGGGAGTCTGGTCTCCTGGGTCTGAGGGAGGAAGGGGCTGGAGTCCTCCCCCTCTCAGTTCCTGAATGGATCATAAAATTGAGAACTCTCCCTGCCCAGGTGTTTGAAATCCGCACCACTGATGACCTCACTGAAGCCTGGCTCCAAGAGAAGTTGTCTTTCTTTCGTTGACCTCTGGGTTGGGGATCTGAATTCCTGATGTCTGAGTCCCCAAAGGAACTGGGGACTCAGACCCCTAGGACCTGAACATCCCAGATCCCGAAGAAATTAAAATGCAAAAACTCAGAGATCCTCCGTTCTGGCTCAGTTTCTGTTTCTTGTTGTGGGCTCCAGCTGAGTCCCTGCAGTACCAGCCTCTGGCCAGCAGAGGGCAGGCGGACCAAGAGGATGTCCGCTGAATTCCGGGAAGAAAGGAGGATAACCTGCTTTTTTGAAAGAAGCCTGTGGGGTTTCCTAGGAAGTATGGGGGAGGCCCGGTCTCCTGCAGGAACCGGGGAATATTCAAATCCATGAAGGAGCCACTCTGGAGGGGATTAAGGATACCTGGGTCCCTGAGAGTAAAGGAGAGTGTCCATTTCCCCTCCTCCCTTCCCTTCTCAGCTCTAGGGGTTAGCTTACACTGAATGCTACTTTTCCCAGTGAGACATCAGGCCCGAGGAATTTAAATGCAGAAAGTTGTGGAAAGATCAAACCTAATTGTTCAGGGGCTTGGGAGTTGTTGAGGTGGGTTGTTGTGTGGTTGGGTAGGTTCCAGTGCTGGGAAAGGCAAAGAAGACCCAGGACCCTCAGGGGACCACTGACTGGTAGGATGTGCGGGGGGTGGGGGGGGGGGGGGGTAGGAAAGGGACATTCGGTTCGCCCTGTCTGGAGATGCTGCTTTCTTCTGACACCCCTGGGCATTTGGTTTCTGTCTCTGAGGGACATTATTGAGAACCAGCAGTGTACTAGGCTCTCAAAATTCCAAGACGGGCAGATCTTCACAGTTATACATCACTCTTTCTGTCTCATTGCTTCTCCGTAACGTCTCAGTCCTCTATGTCCCCAGATTCAGGGACCTGGCTCCCTCCTCCGCTCCTTTCCAGGTTCCCTATAGAGGTAGCTGTTGCCATGGTAACAATGGCATTGTGACCTAGGGCCTGGGCTGCCCCTTCCCAGCTCCAACCCTTCCCCATTCTTCCCAGCCAGAATACACCATCCCCTCACCACCTCACTTTGCCCATCCCTTGCCCCCTTATTCCCAAGCAGGACGCGGCCTTCCTCGAGGGGTTCAGGATAGAACCACTCTACATAAGAAATCCCCTGCCCTCAATTTTCTGCGGGGGCAGGTGGTGAGAGGAAGGTTAGAGTGTGATGAGCTCCTTTCCTCTGACACTTGTCCTTTCCTCTGACACTTGTCATCTCCCTGCCAGGCACGTCTCAACCCCGCCCTCTGATCACAGCCTGAGTCCCTGATGGCTAGAGATGGAAGAGGAGGAGGGCTGGGGTTAGGAGAAGTCATTCAATTAAGAGGTCAAGCAATTCCTGGGCCTGCAGAGGTCAGAGAGACAAAAGGAGTAGTTTCAGGTTGTGCACTTACATGATCAAATTAATAATAATAGCTTACCCTCTGTCTGAGGGCTTCCTGTGTGCTAGGTACTTCTATAAGCACTTTATAGGTATTATTAACATTTAATTCTTACATTGTCCCATGAAGAAGGTACATTATCCCCAATTTACAGATGAAGAAACAGGCACAGAAACTAAAAATGGTTGCCTGAAGTTCCACAGCTAGGATTCTGTAGTAAGAACTTTAACCCAAGGCTATTCTGTGGCCAACTGGCCACTCCCTTTCTTAGGTGGGCCATCTCCCCCTCTTTCTCCTCCTCCCTTCCTTCCCACTCTCCCTCCTCCCCAAGAGTTAAACTTACGTCTGTGTCCAACCAAGCTCATGATTGCAAACAATCTAGTCAGAAAGGCATGTACAGGAATTACCCAATCAGAAGCAGGGAGTTAGGAAACCAGGCACCAATCAGAGAGTGATTGTGAGGAGCAGTCCAATGCAGAGTAGGTTTGGCCGGAAGGATTATGGAAGGACCAATCAGAGAAGCCAGAAGAGCAAACACTATCTAATGGTCAGCATAGAGGGGGTGCTTTGGGTTTGGAGCCCCTCCTTCCAAGCTGTACAAATCGGGGATTGCCCTCTTTCCACTAACCTCCCCTCCAGGCTCCCTAGTCTCTCTCTCTCTCCCCCCCCCACCCCTCTCTGAGAAAGCATATCCCTTTTCTTCAATTAAAAAATGTTTTTATTGGTTTTCAGGAAGAGAAAGAGAGAAAGGAACATCAACGATGAGAACCATCGATTGGCTGCCTTCTGCACCCCTCCCCACCCCTGTACTGGGGATCCAGCCTGAAACCTAGGCATGTGCCCTGACTGGGAATCCAACTGTGACCTCCTGGTTCATGGGTCGATGCTCAACCTGAGCTACACTGGCCAGGCAGGCTCCCTAGTTTTTGCTAGGCACTTCTAGTTAACGTAGAATATAAACAGGGCTTAGGCTGGAGAGGTGGAGACTGGATTTTATTTATTTATTTATTTATTTATTTATTTAATATATTTAATGATTTTTTACAGAGAGAAAAAGAGAGGGATAGAGAGTTAGAAACATCAATGAGACAGAATCATCGATCAGCTGGCTCTTGCACACCCCCTACCAGGGATGTGCCCGCAACCAAGGTACATGCCCTTGACCGGAATCGGACCTGGGACCTTTCAGTCCGCAGGCTGACGCTCTATCCATTGAGCCAAACCGGTTCCGGCTGGAGACTGGATTTTAGGTAGAGCTGAGAATGGAGGACCCAGACTAGGTGTCTGAGGACTAGTGTCCAGGCTAACAACTAGCTGCTTATGGGGTGGAGCCTAAGATGGAGAAGTGGGGCTTTGGCTGTGGGGTGGGGCTTAGACTTGTTGCAGGGACACAGCTAAAGAAGCCTGACCCCCCTAGTACCAGGAGGTCAGGGTTCCATTCCCAGTCAGGGCACATGCCCTGATTGTGGACTCCATCCCCAGTAGGCATTGTGCAGGAGACAGCTGATCAATGATTTTCATCCTTGATGTTTCTCTTCCTCTCCCTTCCTCTCTCTGAAATCAATAATTTTTTTTTTTAAAGAAGTCTCAATACATACTTATATACTTTAGGGTGGTGTCTAAGGTGTGAGGCTTAGACTTCGGGTGTGGGACCTAGAATTGAGGTGCTTTCCTTAGATAAGGCTGCGGATTTTGCTTTGGAGTGGAGCCTTAGAGACTCTATGAGGAGTGGGGGTACATGGGGAGAGGGGTGATAAATTGTGGAAGAATTAGGTTAGTCTAGCACAGGAATTAGGGCCCAGGGAAATAGTCACACTATCTACTTCTACCTGTTGCCCTCTTTTTCAGGCCAACTCACACCCCTGACCTTAAGGGGCACACCCTAACCACTGGCTTACACCCCTCCCCTTCCAGTGACCGCAGGCTCGGAGAACATGCTTATTCCTGAGAGATCTCTACGGTGAGTTCCCAGATCCTCTCCCAAGAGACATTCCAGAACACCTGTTTACTGAGCACCACTGGGACCCGTGGTCGTTTAAACACTGGAAAACATTGGTGCCCATGCCACTTCCCGCAGAAGTCTTACATTTCAGTGACCAGGCAGTAAGCAACAAACAAATAAGTAAACAGGAAATAGGTAAACTCACAAGCAAACAAGATCATTACCAAGAGTAATAATGCTCTGGGGAAAACCTAATGAGGTGATGTGATAGAAGTGATAGAATGGGGCTGCTCTTTGTTGCCTCTTCAGTCTCTAAAAGAGTCCTCCTGCTCTTGTCCCCGTCCTAACATTATTTTGAAACATTTCAAACGCGCAGCAAAGTAAAAATAATTTCACAGTGAATACCCATATACCCTCCACCTGGATTCCACCATTAAATCTCACTGCACTTACTTTGTATCCATTCATCTATCCATCCACCAACGCATTTATGTATATTTCAAAGTAATCTTCAGATATCAGGACCATTGGTGAGGGTGGAGGTGGGGAAGAAGAGCCTGTAATCGAAGAGATTACATTTGAGTTAAGACTTGTGTGAAAACAAAGAATCAGCCATGGACCCAAAGACCGAAAAGCCATCCCTGAGGCCGAACACAAGCATGGTCGGATGTGCGGATAAGCGCTCACAGGGCCAGATGTGCTTTGTGAGTGAGGCTGCCTTAGTTTCTCCTCTCTCTGCATCTGTCTCCCTTAGAGTCTTCCTTCTCACCCGCCCCTTTCCATCCCAGGTCTGCCCTCACCCTCTTTCCCTTCACCTCCACCCTGTCCTGCTATTCGCTGTGCATGTGAGAACTCAGGCAGACCTCCCTCAGGCTCCACTTTCCTCTTCTGTGAGAAGGAGGCAGTGAGGAAGCCTCCATCTGGCTGCTTGAGAGTGACTGGAGCCTTAGGACCATTCCTGGCGTGAGTAGTACTGGACGTGTCCACTTCTGCTGCTGTGGTAATGCTCCCGCGTCTGCTTTCCCAGGCCAGCAGGTAGCACAGCAACCAGGGTGGAGGTGGAATCTGGGGCTTGGTGTGTGCGGGGATTGGCTGTGAGTGGCTCAGGGTCCACCAGAGACAGGCTCTGCCGAGGCGCCTTGGTCTGAGGAGCAGGGCAGGCTTCCTGTGTGACCTGGAAAGGAAGAATTTAGGGAAGGGGGTTTGGGGCAGGGCCTTGATAGAGTGGGATCCAAAAAGAAGTGCTTGGGCCTTCGGTGATCTGGTGGGGAGGGGGGCGAGGCAATAAACAGACTTTGAGGTGAGGCCTCAGGGAATATCTACAGTGAATACCTCAGAAAGAGGTGAAGAGTGGCCTGAGATACTCAGAGGGGTTGGGGGAGGGGCCGATGGCCATTGGGTAGGGTGGGATAAAGGGGTCTGAACAGGGAAGGAGCAGGAAATCCTGGACTAACAGAGAAGGGGAAGGCTCTGCTGGGGCCAAGAGAGAATAGGAGCAGGGAGGGGCAGGGTGCTCAGGAGGCTAGGACTGGTGGGGAGGATGGGAAAGAATCAGGGCAAATCAGGGGTTCTGGAAACCAAGGAGCGTATTGGGGGGAGGATGGTCTGGGTCTAATGGGGGTAATGGGGAAAGCTTAGGGTCTCCCATGGGGACATATTTGAGCCCTCTAGAACTTAGACTTAGTTGGGAATCCCTATTGGAGGTTAGGAGATGGTTTGAGGTCTAGAGAGTGGAGGACATGGCTGGGGGTCCCCAAGGACTGGGATATGGTTTGTGGTCGTGGGTGGCTGTAGAACATGGGCTGGGTCCCCAAAGAGAGCAAGGCAGGATCTGGGGTTTCCCTGGATTTTGACCTATGGCCTGGGGCCTCTGAGGGGTAGGGTGTGGAGCCATGATCTGAAGTCCTTAATGGGGGTGGTTTGGATGCCTGGGATTCTGGAACAGACAGGCTGGGGTCTTTGATGGGGTGAGGAGAGTCTGAGGTCACCAGGGAGAGTAGGTCGTGGTTCGTGGTTCCGGGTGGCTGTGGAACACGTTCTGGGGCCTCGGAGGAGGTAAGGCATGGTCCGAGTGGGACCTGCTCCGAGGTCTCCTTTAGAAATCCGGCTCCCAGGCCAGCCGGGGCGTGGTCTGGGGTCTCCGGGGAAGGCGGCGGGGCCGGGGTGGAGCTGGCAGAGGCGGGGGCGGGCCGTGGCGCTGCGGTGGAGCGGGCTGTGCGGCGGCCCGGCTGGGCGGGGGTCCGGGTGCCCTCCGGCCGGCGCCCCCTCCCCCTTTGCGGCGCTGGTGGCGGCGGGGCCGGTGGCGGGCGGCGCGGAGGGCGGAGCGCGCCGGCGTCCAGGGAGGGAGGCGGGAGGCGGGAGGCGGGCGGGAGGCGGGAGGCGGGCGGGAGGCGGCCCCGCGGCACCGCGCCCCCTCCCCCGGCCCTCCCCCCACCATGGCGCGGAGCGAGGCGGCGGCGGCGGGGCTGGGCCCGGCCCCCCCTCCGCCCCCCCGGGCCGGGTGAGCGCAGCCGCGGCCGGGAGGCGGCGGGCAGGGCGCGGTGTGAGCGGTGTGAGCGGGTGTGAGCGGGTGTGAGCGGGTGCGAGCGGGTGCGAGCGGGTGCGCGTGTGTCCGCGCTGCGGCGGCGGCGTGCGCCCGGCCTGTGTGCGCCCGGCGCCGGGTGCGCGGCTGCTCGCGGGGCCGCCGGGCGTGTGCGGGCGCCGAGCCGGGGCCGCGACCGGCCGTGCGTGTGTCTGGGGCCGCCCCTCCGCCGTCCCCGGGGCTGCCGCGCGCCCACCGGAGGGGCTCGTGCAGGTGCGCGTGGGCTGCGTGTCCAGGTGGGAGCCTGCGGCCGGGTGTGCGCTCCGCCGGCAGCCTGGGTGCTTGTGTCCGGGTTGGATGCCATCCGAGGCGGGTGTGCCGCGCGGGTGTTCATATTGTGCGTGTGTGTGTGTGTGTGTGTGTGGTCTGCGGGGTGCATGTCTCCGAGGGTGTGTATCTGTGCGCCCACGTCAGGTTCCGGGCCGGGGCTGGGACTCGGCGCCTGGTGGGGCCAGGCCTCTGTGTGGTTTGGGGGAGGGGAGTTTGCCGCTCCCTGGGTCCAGGTCAACTGGTGTGGGGCGTGGGGAGGGGGTCCTCAAGCGGTCCTTGGGGGAGACGGCCATCTCTTCCCCTTCCCGGCGGCTGGGTGGGTGGGGGGATGGGCGGTCGGTAGGTGGACAGATGGAGGGATGAGAGGCCGAGGGGTGGACAGATGGGTCCTAGGGGAGGCACGCAGACCTGGCCCCTCCCCACCCACCCCACCCCAGTTCCCACACCCGACAGATCTCCGCAGAGGGGGCCAGAGTTGCCTGCATCCAGATGGCCAGGCTGGAGACCTTTGGGCTGCTGGTGGGAGGATCGCCTTGGACTAGTGCTGTAGGACTCAGCTCCCCAACCCTCTGAGATTTGACCTGCTGAACTCTGACCTCTGGCCCTGGCTTTTGCTGTGGTGGTGGGGGCACGTATGGTGGGAAGGAGAGATGTTAGGATTTCTTTGGCCTGCAAAGTAAGTGGGCAAGAATGCCTCAGGACTGGGAGAGATGTGTGTCCATGTATGTGTGTGTGAATCTGTTGTGTGTGCCTATCTGTTGACTATGTCACTGTGGTTCAATATTTTGTGTGCATTTGTAGGTGTGTAAATCCCTTACAGGGCTGGGTGTGAGCATTTCTTTATGAGTAACGTCTCAGAGTGTCTGTGCAAAAGGTAGATCTTTTTGTACCTTGTGCTTGTTTGAGTGTGTATCAGCCTTGTGTCCATGTATACTTGCGGTTCTGTGTATGTGTGTGAGAAGTCTATCAGCTAGTGTGTGCATTTTTGCATCTGTTGGTGTAGGAACATATCAGCTTTGTGACTGTACATCATGGAGATATGTGAAGTTGTCTGAGCATGTTTGGGCATTTAAGAGTGTTTACCTGGGTATCTTTGTGCAACTTAGTATCTGTTATATGTGTGTGCCCGTGTGTTGGTGAGTGTGCAAGGGTATATCTGTTATAAGTGCATATATCTGGTTGTCTGCAAGGATAGGTTCATGTTTGTATGTGTGTGTATGTGCATGTGAGCATACACATTTGTGTGTGTGTGTGTGGGGGCGCGCATGTGAGCGCACACATTTGTGTGTTCGTGCATTTGTGTATGTGAATGTGCAAGAAAGAGTCAATGTTGTACATGTGTGGTTGTATGTGGGTGTGTCAACCTTGAGGTTATGTGTCTGTCTCTGTTGTGAGTTCATTTATGCATCAGTGTTGGTCTCTCAAGAGAGTTTGTGTGTGTTCAAAAATATATGTGCAGGATTGTATGCACACACATGCCTGTGCCCCTGGCACAAGGCTGACCCTGCTTCTGGAGCCAGTGAGATTGGGGTTCATGTGGTGTGATCTGTGGTATGCTGGGGTCCAGCCTGGGGCTCATGGACACAAGTGTGTCCACATCTCAGGCCAAGAGCCAGTGGAGGGCGGGGGCACAGGGATCATGCTGGTGTATCTATGGAAATACAAGTGTAGAGACTTGAGTTGTGGGCCCATGTGAGTTTTGAGATGTCTACCACATGTTGGTGTGACAATGATTTGATGGTGACATGGGGACCTCTGATCCCTCCCCAGCTCCTGGTACCACTTAAGTCTTTGAAGTTGGGGGATTGGGAGGTGAACTCTGGAAGGAGGAGGCTGAAGGAGAAGAAGGATGGGCTCAATTCTTGGGTCCTGAGAATGGAAGGGACTGAGATCTGGGCTCTTGAGTCTGAGGGAGGAAAAGGGTTGTTCCAGATTCTAGGATCTAGGGAGAAGGGAGCTGGTGTCACTGGAATCTTGAGACCCCAGAGGACAAAGGTTAATGTCCTGGACTCTTGAATTTTGGGGACCAAGACTCCTTGATTTCTAGAGATTACTTTCTGGGTCCATCTGCAATTATGCAGCACCTGCAGCAAGAGGACTGAGAGTGTGATCATACCAGGGACTTCCTTGGCTGAGATGGTCTCTGAGGCAGATCTCCAGTGAGGAACCAGAAGGATGCTAACAGGGTCATTTTGTTTCTTTGTAGGTACTGGCCCAGGCCCTGACTCCCTGAAGAGAGGTGAGTGGGGTCCCTCCTGCTGGGGAGATGTGGAGTGGTTGGTCTTGTTCCGAGCCCCTCTGGAGGCCTGGAGCCCTGCCTAAGGATTCCAGTGAAGGGTATGGCAGTGTCCTGAGGGGCCAGGCTAGGGAAGGGGTGATGACAAGGTCAGGAGCATCATGGGTAAGGGCTCATAGAACCAGGGCACGGGTAGCAGATGGGGGTCTCAGGCTTAAGAATCCCCTCTCTGGATGGGTAAGGTAGTTAAGAACAGGGGTTTCCTCATGATGGCAGTAAAGGGTATCAGAGAGTTCATGGCATGAACTGACCCCCGCGTTTGGAGAGTGACATGAATGTGTCTACCATTTGTGTGTGTGGGGGAAGATCTCCTGGGACTCCAGCCTGCTGGTGGCTGAGAGAGCCAGAGGGAAATAGCAACAGCAATAGCATAGATGTTTATGTAGTGTTGACTTTGCCAGGAGCTGTTCTAATCACGTTACACTGCATTATCTCACATAATCCCTACAATGACCTGATGCGGTAAGTATTCTTATAGCCCCATTTTACAGAGGAGCATGCTAAGGCACAGAGAAGGTAAGTCACTTGAGCAGAGTCACACAGCGGGAATTGGGGTGTGAACCTGGACAGTCGGGATTGGTTTCTGTCCAGCAATGTTGCACTGCCTCTCAGTAAATGTTAGCTATTTTCATTGCTATTGTAGTTCCTTCAACTGAGTCTCACCCCAGCGGTGGGAGGTGAAGCGCTGTACTCAGTGCTGTCACTGTCATAGATGTGTTTCTGAGCCCTAGAGACCCACAGCCAGACGGGTGTGGACGGGGCCTCCTACCTCAGGAGTTCCGCCTTCCAGGCCAGGGTTTCCTGTCCAGTACAGGGTCCCAGAGGGAGGGCAAGACGAGTAGTCGGAGGCCTTGGAAATGGTAGGGCCCCCTGACTTGGCCTCTTTTTCTCTCATCAGCCCAGGGACTGTCTCCTTCAGTTTCTGTCTCACTCTTTGTCTCTATACAATCTGATTCTCCCTTCCTTTCTCTCCTTCTCTCACTTCCTCTCTCCTTTAGATCTCAGTCTCTATTTTTTGTCTTCTCTACTAAGTTTTTCTGTCTCTCAATCCTTGTCTCTTCACCTTTCTTTCAGATTTTCCTCTCTCTCTCTCTGTCTTTGTCTCTGCCCGCCTATCTCTACCTCCCCTTGTCTCTCGCTAGTCTCCTCACTCTCTCTCTCTTAGTCTCTTGGTTCCTCCTCTCCACATCTATCTTCCCTCTCCCCACAGGGATGAAGGACCAGGCCACCTTAGGTCACAGCCCCAGACTGCAGATTCCTGGGAGGCGGGCCAGCAGGGACTGGGGTGCAGGATGGGGTGAAAACAGTTTCAGGGATGCCCCCTTTGCATCCTTTCCTCCTCACCCTCCACCAACCCCATGTTGTGATGGGAGCTGACATGTCGTGGGCTGCAGCTGCCACAGGGGAATCCCTGCTGGAAGGTTTTGCCTGGAGCAGAGGAATGGCATGCGTGTGTGAGTGTCTGTGTGTCTGTGTAGGCATGTGTGGGGTCTTTATGTGTCCACAGATGTGAGCACAGAAGTCTACCCCCTGCTTGGGAGCTCAGAAGAGCCTAGGATGAACCAAGGTCCGAGAAGGACTTCCTGAGGCTGAGCAGGGAGACTGGTGTGGTTTTCTCAGCCTCTTCCACCTTCAGACTCTCTTTACCTCTGATAGAGGGTGGGGGGTATTGCCCATAACATGAATACTTACTGAGTGCCAGGCCCGTGCTCAGAGACCCCCATGAATGAGTTTACTGAATCCTTGCAACAACCCATTGAAGATGGTACAATTATCATCCCATTTTACAAAACAGGCGAGTATGGCCTAGTTAGCGAAAATCATTGGTTTGGGGTCACAGAGCCAGCAAGTGGGTAGAACCAAGACTTGAACCTGAATCTGTCTGATTTCAAAGCACTTTCATATATGTAAAACATATCGCTATTGATTTCAGAAAAAAAGGAGAGAAAGATAGAAACATCAATGGTGAGAGAGAATTATTGATCACTACCTCCTGCACACTGCCTACTGGGGATGGAGCCTTTGACCTGGCCTGTGCCCTTAACTGGAATTGAACCTGGAACCCTTCAGTCTGCGGGCTAGCGCTCTATCCACTGAGCCAAACCAGCTAGGGCCAAAGCACTTTCCTTTAATAATAGTGCATACTTCTATACCTGGCACATAATGGGCACTCGATGATGATAATACTTAACATGTATTGAATACATTTTATGTGCCAGGCATTGTTCATAAGTAGTACACCATTCTCAATAATCCATTTAACCCTCACAGAGGTAAGGCCTGTTTCTTTCTTTTCTTTTTTTATCTCCTTTTTACAGATGAAGAAACCGAAATTCAGAGAGGTTCAGACACTTGCCCGAGGTCATACAGCTAGTAAGTGTCAGAGCTGGAATTTGAACCCAGGGAATTTGGCTTTGAAATCCATGAACTTAAACCCTAGCTAGCAGTGATTTTTCTTTTCTTTTTTTCTTTTTTAAAAAAATATATATATTTTATTGATTTTTTACAGAGAGGAAGAGAGAGGGATAGAGAGTTAGAAACATCGATGAGAGAGAATCATCGATCAGCTGCCTCTTGCACATCCCTTACTGGGGATGTGCCTGTAACCAAGGTATATGCCTGGAATTGTACCTAGGACCTGTCAGTCCGCAGGCTGATGCTCTATCCACTGAGCCAAATCGGTTTCAGTGAGCAGTGATTTTTCAAAATGTTCAGTGGGTACTAGAAGGCCCAGTCAGGGCCAGGTGTGACCCCTCTGGTTAGGAGATTATGAGAGGTCTGGGAACCCCTAGGGGAGGGGTAGAGGTGGGGACAGTGGTAATTTATCAACCAGCGTTAATATATTATCTACTAACAAATGCATGCCGACTGAGGATCAGTGCTGTCACTGTCCTACAGAACTGGTTATCAGGAAGGGGAGGATCTGGGTTAGACTCTGAGCAGAACATCCCAGGACAGTCAGGCTGGCGAGCAAGCTCTGTGCCTGGGTAACGTTCTCCTCCTCCTTCAGGTCTTACTGTCCATTCCTCCCACCTCCCCACTGCACCATGGCTCCCGGCCCTTTCTCCTCTGCGCTGCTCTTGCCACCACCTGCAGCCCTGTCCTTTCTGCTGCTGCTCTGGGCAGGGGCATCTCGCGCCCAGCCCTGTCCTGGCCGCTGCATCTGCCAGAACGTGGCGCCCACGCTGACCATGCTGTGCGCCAAGACCGGCTTGCTCTTTGTGCCGCCAGCCATTGACCGGCGTGTGGTGGAGCTGAGGCTCACAGACAACTTCATTGCGGCCGTCCGCCGCCGAGACTTCGCCAACATGACCAGCCTGGTGCACCTCACCCTCTCCCGCAATACCATCGGCCAGGTGGCGGCCGGCGCCTTTGCTGACCTCCGTGCCCTCCGGGCTCTGCACCTTGACAGCAACCGCCTGGCCGAGGTGCGTGGCGACCAGCTCCGCGGCTTGGGCAACCTCCGCCATCTGATTCTCGGAAACAACCAGATCCGCCGGGTGGAGTCGGCAGCCTTCGATGCCTTCTTGTCCACCGTGGAGGACCTGGATCTGTCCTACAACAACCTCGAGGCCCTGCCCTGGGAGGCCGTGGGCCAGATGGTGAACCTGAACACCCTCACGCTGGACCACAATCTCATCGACCACATCGCCGAAGGTACCTTCGTGCAACTTCACAAACTGGTTCGCCTGGACATGACCTCCAACCGCCTCCACAAACTGCCCCCTGACGGGCTCTTCCTGAGGTCCCAGGGCCCCGGGCCCAAGCCGCCCACGCCGCTCACCGTGAGCTTTGGCGGCAACCCCCTGCACTGCAACTGCGAGCTGCTCTGGCTGCGGCGGCTGACCAGGGAGGATGACTTGGAAACGTGTGCCACCCCCGAGCACCTCACTGACCGTTACTTCTGGTCCATCCCGGAGGAGGAGTTCCTGTGCGAGCCCCCGCTGATCACACGGCAGGCGGGGGGCCGGGCCCTCGTGGTGGAGGGCCAGGCAGTCAGCCTGCGGTGCCGCGCCGTGGGCGACCCCGAGCCCGTGGTGCACTGGGTGGCACCTGACGGGCGGTTGCTGGGGAACTCCAGCCGGACCCGCGTCCGGGGGGATGGGACGCTGGATGTAACTATCACCACCTTGCGGGACAGCGGTACCTTCACCTGCATCGCCTCCAATGCCGCCGGAGAAGCCACGGCGCCCGTGGAGGTGTGCGTGGTGCCCCTGCCTCTGATGGCGCCCCCGCCGGCTGCCCCGCCGCCTCTCACTGAGCCTGGCTCCTCGGACATCGCCACGCCCAGCCGACCTGGTGCCAATGAATCCGCCGCTGAGCGCCGGCTGGTGGCGGCGGAGCTCACCTCCAGCTCCGTGCTTATCCGCTGGCCGGCGCAGCGGCCTGTGCCCGGCATCCGCATGTACCAAGTCCAGTACAACAGCTCCGCTGACGACTCCCTCGTCTACAGGTGGGTGCTTCGGGCCCAGAGCCTCCTCCCACTTCAAGGGTACCCCTCCCTCTGCCCACTTCCTTGGCCTTCTTGCTCAGCTGGGGTTCTAGATGGCCATACCAAGTTGCTCTGTCTCCTTCTGTCTCACTTTCTGTCTCGCTGTCTCTGTTTTTCGTGCATTTTGCAAATCTTTGTTGAGCACCCACGTGAGTCGGGTTGGGTGCTGGAGTTATAACAGGGAATGCCCGCCCATACCCACTCCCATGGAGCTTGTGGTCCATAGTCCTGCTCAACAAAGGTGTTGATTGTGTACCTGGTCAGTTAAACGTTTTGGAGCATGAAACACACACACATACATTACACACACATCTAACAGTTACATTTATATTTATAAGTTATATGCCAGTGCTTCTGTATCAACACATTGGGAACATTATAGAACAGAAAACCAAAATATATAAATATAAGTTATTTTCATTATTCACTGGGTTAGAAGCCTTTGCCTTGGTATGGACAGACATTAAAGAGTTACTTTCTCCCATCATCCATTTTCTTTTTTTTTTTTTAAATATATATATTTTATTGATTTTTGTACAGAGAGGAAGGGAGAGAGATAGAGAGTTAGAAACATCAACGGGAGAGAGTCATCGATCAGCTGCCTCTTGCACACCCCCTACTGGGGATATGCCCACAACCAAGGTACATGCCCTTGACCGGAATCGAACCCGGGACCCTTCAGTCCCCAAGCCGACGCTCTATCCATTGAGCCAAACCGGTTTCGACCCATCATCCATTTTCTTAATTTCACATCTGCCTCTATCTGTCCCTTCTCTCCCTCCTGCCCTTGTTAGGCACTGAGGCCCTGCTCTGTGCTAGGCTCTGAGGGTGCTGGGGACACTGGGAGAACAAAAGACCAGTCCCCACCCTCAGGGACCTTATGGTCCAGAGGAAGGAGGCAGCTAGTATTCGCTGAAGTATTGCCTTGGCCTTGCAGTGTCCTTCATCTTGGTAGCTTTTAAGTATGACTCATAGCCATAGACCTGGCACACAGTGGGCACTTGATAAGTGGTTGTGGGCTTTGTGAATGGCTCTCCTTCTTCCTGGCTCTGTCTCCTTCATGTATGCTGTAGAGCACCTGCTGTGTGCTTAATCCTGTGTTTGACTTCACTTGGTAATGCCAGAGGTTGTAAAGCCCTTTTTGGGAGCCCCATTTTTTGGTGTGCTCAGATCTGCCCCCAAAAAGCCTGCCTCTTGGCCTCCAGGGTCACCTCCCAGGGTTCTCTGGGCCACAGTCTTGGTACACAGTAGGTGCTTTCCCATTGTTGGCGGAATGAGTAAACGCCTTTGAAAACTTTGTCTCTGTCATCCTCATTTTCTTTTAGAATCTGGTTATCAAACACTGAATGTCAGATTCCATGCTGGGCCCTGGGGCCACCGAGAGAGATCAGACACTGGCCCAGTTTTCCAAACTTGAGGGCAAACAAATGAACAAAACAAAAACCTTTATAAGGTACTACCAAGGATGCTATTTCATTTGATCTTTCCAACTCTGATGTGAAGCAGTGATGATCCCCTTCCCATTTTATAGATAGGGAAACTAAGGGCCATGGAGGAAAGTCACTTGTTCAAGGTTACACAGAAAGTGGCAGAACCAGGATTCCAGTTCTTACCCTTCTAACTCCTAGTCCTGCCCTTTTTTTTGTTTGAATACACATTTATTGTGTTCCCACTGTTTGCCAAGCAGGGATTAGTGGAGCTGGATAATACATTTCTGTAAATAACTCTTGGTTTGTGACTCTCCACTTCTCTCTTTCTTTCCTTTTCTCTCTGACCTGTGGCCACTACTTAGTGTGGTGCAGGGAGGTTTTCAGGATCCAGACCCAACATGTATTTAGTTGTTGATTCCCTTCTGTCCCTAGCTAGGCAACAGATCTGGGGGCTCTTCCCTTCCCCTCAGGGCCACAGTTCCAGTCCACCATCTCCCACTGCAGAGGCCTGCACTATGGTGCGGTAGGGGTTAATTTCCTCACTTCTGCCATGGGTGGAGGTGACATCCAATCAGAAGCCTGCTTTGCTGCTTGCTTGGGTCTTTCAGCCAATTAGAGACATGTGGGCTCAAGCTTTCTTAAGGAGCTAGCCTCTGTCCTTGAAAGGGGGGAGCCCCTAGCAACTGTTTTTGTTTTTTTTTTTAGGGAAAAGAGCAAGAGGAATCCTAGTCTCTCTGAGAGGGGAGAGGGAAAGAAAAGAAAGACTTGCAGCCTGGGGCTCAGGGTTGGGAGGTATGAGGAGGAGTGGTCTGTAAAATTGCAGGCAAGGGGAGAGTTGGAGAAGCGGATGGGTGTTGTAGAGGGGATAGGGCCCTCCCTGGAAGCCTTTTGGTTGGAGGGTGGCTTTTGATGGTGGGGAACCTTCAGGAAGTCAGACAACTGCTGTAAGCTTCAGGACCAGAAGGTGGCCTGGCTGGAGGGAAGGTGAAGCATCGAAAGGTAAGTGGGGACATTGACCTCTGAGAAGTGGAGCTCCTTTTTCATGGTCCCATGCAGAAGAAGATGTGGTCTTTGTCTCTGGTGACCCACTAAGACCTTTGTAGGAGAGGAGAGCTTGTGAGGTTGAGTGATGGGCATGTGGCAGTCCCAGGTTAGCCGAAGCTGGACTTGGCCGAAAATGTGGAAAGGATGTGCTCAACAGAAGAAGCAAGGCCTAGTGGAAATGGTCTCATAGATGAGGGAGGGTGCAACTGGCAGCAGAGTGTGAGCCACAGCAAGGGTACTGGCCAACATAGAGTGGGATGGAAGCTATTATAATAATAATGAAATTAAAAATATATATATTTTATTGATTTTTTACAGAGAGGAAGAGAGGGATAGAGAGTTAGAAACATCAATGAGAGAGAATCATCAATCAGCTGCCTCTTGCACACCCCCTACTGGGGATGTACCCACAACCAAGGTACATGCCCTTGACCGGAATTGAACCTGGGACCTTTCAGTCCGCAGGCTGATGCTCTATCCACTGAGCCAAACTGGTTTCGGCAATGATGAAATTTTTAAGTGCCAGGCTTTGGGTATGTTAACTAATTCATACTTACATCATCTCTATGATGTACTAATTCTTAATATCCCCATTTGGGAGAATTGAGGCTCAGAGTGGTTAAGAAACTTGTGTAAAGTCCTAGCTAGTTTGACTCAGTGGATAGAGCATTGGCCTGCCGATTGAAAGGTCTGAGTTCAATTCTAGTCAAGGGCACCTGCCTGGGTTACAGACTCAATCCCCAGTAAGGGGCATGCAGGAGGCAGTCAACCAATGGTTCTCTCTCATTGTTGATGTTTCTATCTCTCCCTCTCCCTTCCTCTCCGAAATAAAAAAAGAAAGAAACATTTGTAAGGCCCTAGCTGGTTTAGCTCAGTGGATAGGACATCAGCCTGTGGACCGAAGGGTCCTGGATTCAGTTCTGGTCAAGGGCACGTACCTCAGTTGCAGGCTCCGCTCAGGCCCCAGCCCTGGTCAGGGCGCGTGCAGTAGACAACCAGTCTATCTGTTTTTTTCACATTGATGTTTCTCTCTGTCTTCCCCTCTCTTCGAACTCTCTAAAAGTCAATGGAAAAAATGTCCTCTGGTGGGGATTTAGAAAAAGAAAGAAAGGAAGAAACTTGTATAAGGTCACAGCTAGCAAGTGGCAGAAGAGAGACTCAAACCCAAGCAGTCTGGCTCCCAGAATTGTCAGTTTAACCACTTCTCTGCACTGCCCCTCATTTGAGGGCAATGGCCTACATTTGACCCAATAGTTATAGATGAGACTTACCTGGGGGTGTGAGTTGGTGATGTGTGGCAGTATAGGGTAGGGCACACACAGAGAGGTTCAGGACATGCAAAGAGTGGACACGGCCTTAGGCACAGTTAGGTATCATCCCCAGTGGGCTGTTATGGGGTGTAGTGCAGGAATATGTAGTTGAGAGGCTTGGAAATTGGCTCAGAAGATATATGCAGCTAGGAGATGAATTTACCCAAAGATGGAACATGCAGATAAAGGGGGTGGCCTGTACACACATGGTTTCCCTGAAAGGGCAGGAATATATAATAAGAAGCACTAGAGGGCCCTTGCTGGTTTGGTTCAGTGGATAGTGTCAGCCTTTGGACTGAAAGGTCCCAGGTTCTATTCTAGTCAAGGGCACATGCCCAGGTTGCAGGCTTGATCCCTAGTAGCAGGTGTGCAGGAGGTAGCCAATCAATGATTCTCAGCATTGATGTTTCTATCTCTCTCTCCCTCTTCTTTCCTCTCTGATATCAATAATTATACACACACACACACACACACACACACACTAGAGGCCCAATGCACAAAGACTCATGCAAGAAATGGCCTTCCTTTTCCTGTCTGCTGGCACTGCCTTAGCTCTGGCCTGAGCCACCTTTCTGCTCCATTCCTGAGCCGCCTTTCTTCCTCCCCATGCTGCCCAGAGGCCCAGAAACGCTGCTTTCTGCCCCACCCCGCCCCCAGCTGCTTGGGGCCTGCATATGCAAATTGACACAACATATTTGTTGGGCTAATTTGCATACTCACCTGATTGGCTGGTGGGTGTTGCGAAGGTACAGTCAATTAGCATGTTGCTCTTTTATTAGTGTAGATATATATTTTTTCTTTTTAAAAAGAGGAACTAGAGGCTCAGTTGGTTGGATAGTGAAGGTTGCAGGTTCAATCCCCAGTCAGGGCACAAACAATAAGCAAGGAATTCAGAAATAAGTGAAATAGCACTGCTTTTCTCTCTCTCCCGCTCTTCCATCTCTCCCTCTTCTCTCCCTTCCTTTCTCTCTAAAGTCATAACGACAGGGGGTGTGAGTTGACCACTTGTGAGGCTGGGGCATGTGGTAGGGGGTGGGGCTTGTAGTAATGGGGCCCCTTAAAGGATGAAAATATAATATGTACATAAGAGACCTTGAATGGCAGTTGTTGCTACCCTAATATGGTGAGACACTGCTAGAGGGTGTTTCCCTGTAGGGTAGGGCATAAAACTATAGCACTCCTCTCATTCACGAAGTAGGATATGTAGATGAGGGAATATGATCGACAGATGGTGTTCTAACTAGGCAATAAGACAGACGGGGTTGGTCTGAGGGCAGGGCATGCAGATCAAAGGCTTGGCCTGTAGCAGTGGTCCTGAGAAGTTAGAAATTTGTTGCTTGCATGGCTGCTCTCCTGGTAAAGGGTGAGATACTGATAGGAACGCATGGTTTGGTTCCCACTGGTCACCATAGGTGGGACATAAAGTGAAATGGCTTGGTTCAGAGTAGAGCTAACCCCATGCTGATCCTGCCCCTTCCCACAGGATGATCCCCTCCACCAGCCAGACCTTCCTGGTGAATGATCTGGCGGCAGGCCGCGCCTACGATTTGTGCGTGCTGGCGGTCTACGATGATGGTGCCACGGCGCTGCCAGCCACGCGCGTGGTGGGCTGCGTGCAGTTTACCACGGCCGGCGACCCAGCGCCCTGCCGCCCGCTGCGGGCCCACTTCCTGGGCGGCACCATGATCATTGTCATCGGGGGCGTCATCGTCGCCTCGGTCCTCGTCTTCATCGTTCTGCTCATGATCCGCTACAAGGTCTATGGCGACGGAGATGGCCGCCGGGTCAAGGGCTCCCCGAGGTCACCCCCGCGGGTCAGCCACGTGTGCTCGCAAACCAATGGTGCAGGCGCGGCCCCTCCGCCGGCGCCCGAGTGCCGCGTGGCGCTGCGCGAGGAGGCGGCCGCGGCCGTGGAGGTGGAAGCCAAGGCCGCGGGGGCAGAGACGGCAGTGCCCGCAGACCCGGAGGCGGTCTTCGGGCGCCCCCTGGGCAGCTCGGCCACCTCGCTGTGTCTCCTGCCATCGGAGGAGACCTCTGGGGAGGAGTCTCGGGCCGCCGTGGGTCCTCGGAGGAGCCGCTCGGGGGCCTTGAAGCCGCCAGCCACGGCGCCCTCCGCGCTGGCTTTGGTTCCGGGGGCGGCGCCCGCACGGCCGCGGCCACAGCAGCGGTATTCGTTCGACGGGGACTACGGGGTGCTCTTCCAGAGCCACAGCTACCCGCGCCGCGCCCGGCGGACAAAGCGCCACCGCTCCACGCCGCACCTGGACGTGGCGGGCGGGGGCGCGGCCGGGGAGGACGGAGAGCTGGGGCTGGGCTCCGTCCGCGCGCGCCTGGCCTTCACCAGCACCGAGTGGATGCTGGAGAGCACCGTGTGAGCGGCCGGGGCGGCGCCGGGACCCGGACAGGACAGACGCTGAGCTGCCCGGACCCTGGGGCAGGACTGGAGGGAAAAGCACAGCGCCAAGACCTCTGCCTGGAGGGAGGGAGGCCCTTCTCCCGAGGGGGCGCTGCGGCCTCCGCTGCGGCTCCAGGCAATGCACCGCGTCCCGGGGAGTGAGGAGCGGCCGCGGGCTCTCCTCCCTGAGAACTCCTCGTCCCCTCCTGTCCCTCCCCCAGCGCGCTCGCGGACCTCGCCGGAGCTGGTGCCTTACACAGCGAAGCGCGGGGAGGGGCAGGGCCCCCCCACACTGCAGCACTGAGACACGAGCCTCCTCCCCCTGCCCGGGACCAGGGGCAGGGATGAGGGGCCCATTTCTTGTATCTGGCTGGACTAGATCCTATTCTGTCCCGCGGCGGCCTCCAAAGCCCCACCCCCAGCCCATTCACCTCTTTGATCCCGTAGGGTCTGGCTTGGGGTCCCCTTTTCTCTGTTCCCCTCTTTTTGTGTCTATCCTGCTCTCTGTCTTCTCTGTCGTTATGTCTCTGCTCTTCTCTACTTGTCTCTTTTTTCTCTGTCCTATCGTCTCTTCTCCTGCCCTCCCATATTTTGTCCAGTCTCTGTCTCTCCGGGATTACCTCCCCCACTACACATTCTCCCGGGCAGGTCCCACTGGAAGGACCAGACTCTCCCAATTCCTTCCTTTTTCCTCAAATAAATCCCCACATGAATAAAATCCAAAACAAAGTCCTCCCTACGGAGCCAGGACCCCCGCCGCAGCAGAATTAAATTTTTTTCTGTGTCTGAGGGCGCTCTACTGACCTCTGTGTGTACCCCTGTGTCGTGTGTGTGTGTGTGTGTGTGTGTGTCCCCTAGATTACAGCATAAGGGTTAAGTGAGATTGAGGGAAGGATGGCTAACTGGGACTAGGGAGACTTGCAGACAATTTCCTATCCTCTGAGCGATTTAAAGGTGGGAAATAATAATAAAACGATAATAGCTAACATTTAGTGAGTGCTTACTGTGTGCCAAGCACTTAAGTAATGTAATCCTCACAGCAACCCTAGAGCATATTACAGTTATCCCATTTTGCAGATGAGAAAATTGATGCCCAGAAACGTCTCAAGATCACATAACCAGAAGGTGGCAAAAGTGGGGTTTGAAAAGGCAGGCAGCCTGACTTCTGAATCTGTCCTCTTCACCACAGAATTCTGCTGAGCAGTTAGTGAATGCTCCTTCCTCATAGAAGCATTGCGCTAAGCACAGCTCCTCTTTCTGAGGTTGGGCAGCTGTCCAAGGTAGGTGTCTTGGTTCCATTTTACAGACAGGAATCTGGACCAGGGAGAACTGAAGTCACTTGCCCAAAGAGCCCAGTGAGAAAACAGTGGGACTGGCAGTTTGATCCAGGGTCTGACCTGTTCCTTACCACTACGCTGTTGCATCTGGAAGCTGGGGAATGACCCCAATGACAGCTGAGCACAAGTATCCCAAGCCAGCCTGGTGAGGAAGGAAGGCGGGAAAGAGCTCATTGGTTACTGTCTGGAATAGGAGGAATTGGAAGTGGAGAAGGGGTCTGCTTAGGGGCACAGATGATGGTTTGGGGAGGGGAGTTTCGGTTAAGGCTGAGGGTTGTGGCTGGGGAAGGAAAGTTGGTTGGGGGCTACCCTAATCCTTGGGGGTGCTGCAGTGAAAACTTTCTGATCCTGGAGAAGGAAGAGACTTCATGCTAGCCAGGGCCCCCCTGAGGCCTGGGGAGGAGGAGAGGAAGACAGAAATAGAAACAGCAGGAGGGAGGGGGAGATCTGGGCAGACAGGGTGGGAGGCGTCAAGGACAAAGGCACCAGGAGGCTCCCTCACCCAGTGACCCAGCTACACTTACCTATCGGTCATCATGACTCCTGGGTACTGAGGGCTTCCTTCGTGCTGGGCACTGCTCACAAACCCTCCCTGGTGAATGGGCCAGGGGGAGGGGAAGGGACAGCTGTAATGCTCTCAACCCAGCACCAGGTACAAACACTCACAAAATGAAGTTACTTTCATAGTAAGCATGATCACATTTGTACTCTGCAGCTGACATGTAGTGTGTGCATCTATGTTTCTAGACGAAGAAATAGTTGAGGTTAATGAGCTTTCCCAAGATCATACAGCCAGTAAACAGCAGAGTTGTGATTAGAAAGTTTATTGCCTCCAAATCCTGCACACCTAATCATCTGACTGTATTGTCTGAGTCACTCGAAAAAACTTTATTGAGCATGCACTACATATGTGGTCCTGTGCAGGAGATACAGCGGTGAACAAAACAGACAAATAAGAAACCCCTGTGGCCTGGTCAGTGTGGCTCAGTGGTTGAGTGTTGATCCATGAACCAGGAGGGCACATTTCCTGGTCAGGGCACATGCCCAGGTTGTGAGTTTGATCCCCAGTAGGGAGCATGCAGGGATTCTCTTTCATTAATGTTCTATCCCTCTCCCTGAAATAAATAAAAACGTTATATATAAAATAAAGAAACCCTTGTGCCTTGGGGGGAGGCAGTAAACATCAGGTAAATATGTAATGAGTGGTGGTAAATAAATGTAATGAAATGATGAAAACAGGGTGTTGGGTCAGAGAATAACTGGCAGGTGTACTTTAGATGCGGGGGCTCAAAGGGGGGAAGAGTATCAAGAAAGGTGATATCGGAGCTGAGGAAATCCATTCTGAAGAGATCCATTGTGGGAAGAACATTCCTGGCAATGGAAATAGCATGTGTAAAGGCCTGAGAAAGGATTGTGCGTGGTGTGTTGGAGGCATTGTGTCTGGACTGGAGTGGGAGGACAGCAGGTGGGAGAGGCAAGCAGGGAGCAGATTCTGCAGACTAGTTTGTGGTCAAGAGTCAAGATTTTATTCTCAGAGCTGTGGGAGGCCAAAGGAAGGTTGTGAGCAGGGGTGGCGTATGGTCTGATTTCAGTGGAGACCCCAGCTGTGGGGCGTGCCGCCTTCAAAACAAAGTGGGGAACTAGCCGAAACCGGTTTGGCTCAGTGGATAGAGTGTCGGCCTGCAGACTGAAGGGTCCCAGGTTCGATCAAGGGCATGTAACTTGCTTGTGGGCACATACCCAGTAGGGGTGTGCAAGAGGCTGCTGATGGATATTTCCAACTCTCTATTCCTTTCTCTTCCTCTCTGTGAAAAATCAATAAAATGTATTAAAACAACAACAAAAACAACACAAAAAACCAAAATGGGGAACTGTCACCTCAGAACATGGCATCCATCCATCAACATACCTGGGGCCCACATGGTGTAGCCCCTTGGAGGACATCCACCACCTTCTTTCTCCTGTAACCCTAAGTCCTTTGTTTAATAGCAAATCAATGCCAATGATATATTCTTCAAAACGGAGAGCTTTAAAACTGAGGAACAGGTACAGCAATGAGAGGGCATTGGATTTTCCAAGGGGAGTGTATGAACATCTGCTCTGGGCCTGGCCCTGTGCTGGGCACTGTAGACCCAGCAGTGACCAAGATAGATATAATCCCTGCCCTCCTGGACAGACAGATGACCACAGGGCTGTGATAGGAGAAGAGGAGGACACTGTGGGAGCCTTACCCCACCTGCAGGCTCAGGGATATATATATATATATATATATATATATATATATATATATATATATATATATATATATATATTGATTTTTTTACAGAGAGGAAGGGAGAGGGATAGAGAGCCAGAAACATCAATGAGAGAGAAACATCGACCAGCCACCTCCTGCACGCCCCCCCCCCCCGGGGATGTGCCCACAACCAATGTACATGCCCTTGACCGGAATTGAACCTGGGAGCCCTCAGTCCGCAGACTGACGCTCTATCCACTGAGCCAAACCGCTTTCAGCTCAGGAACATATTTGAATCAAAGTCATTTGGTAGCAGGTCACAGGAACATAGCTCAACAGAATAGACATAAAAAGCGGGGATTTATTGGCTTATATACCTGGGAAGGAAACAATGTAGGGTAGACCCACAAGGAGACTAGACCCCAAACTCAACTCCATCAAGACACTCTCCTATGCATTTCTCTGTTTGTCTCAGCTCACAGTCATTCTCCTCAACTCCATGTGCTGGGAAAATGGCCATTTATCTGCAGACACAAACCCAACCCTTCCAGTGCCATAGCCCGGGGGAAGGTGGCAAACTCTCCAGCTTAACTGAAACAACAACATCCCAGGGAAGGGCTCCGATTGGACTGATTGGGGTCACATGCCACCCTTGCACTGGTTGTGGCTTCCAAGGGAAAGGAACACTTCGATTGGCCAGGTAGGGGTTAGTTTAGCCCTCAGTATTAAGGTGTCCAGGTTGGGCAGCCTGGGAGAGGAGAGTAGCTAAAGAAATTGTTTTTCAGGTTGAATCAGACGAAATTGCCAGTTTTATAGGTCAGAAACGGTAGAATATTGGCAATCTCGTATGGTTGACCCCAAATTCTTATCAGATGGGAAAGCTTTTGGGCCTATAAAAGTAATATAAATCCCAGTGGACCATTCCGGAGTGTATTTGGAAGAAGAGGTGCTATTAGCAGACATAGGGATGAGTGGAAATTAGCCATGTAAAGATATGGTGTTGGCGGGAGAATAGTAGGGCATATTTCAAGGAGAGGAAACAGCTTCTACAAAGGCTGTCATTAGGGAAGGCCAGAGCAGGTGCATCACTGTGATCGGTAGATGGGGTAATCTGACTGAGCAAACCTGAATGAAGGGGTGGAAAGTGAGCGTTAGCAGGAGAAATGGATGCTGAGCAGGTAAAACCTAAATACAATATATCCAGTTCAGAATTTCTTTGTAGACCTGTGCTTCTCCAAGTGGATTTGTAACCTTATTTCTATTACAGCATTCAGATTGAAGAGGGCCCTATGCCTGAACTCAGACATGGCCTACAGGATTCAAATTTTTATTATCAAATGTTAATTGGCCACTTCTCTGGGTTCTGTGCTGGGCATGCAGAGATGGGTTTGTGAGGATTCACTAGGCTGCAAACAGAAAACCCAAGTAAACGACTGAAGACATTTAGTTATCTTACTGAAGAAGAATTCTGGAGTTAGAAGGTTTGGAGGTTTGGTGCAGTGGCTTATTGATATCAACAAGGACCCATTTCCTATCCTGTTTCACCTTCCTGGGAAGGATAGATTCATATTCCTGGCTTGTTGTCTCATGGTCACAAAATGGCCATCAGAGATCCAGGTCTCACATCCTCATACCGGTGAACGAAGTAGGAAGGAAGGGAACAAATGGAAGTTTTCTGTGTGTCAAGCAAGAAAAAATTCTAAAATAAGAGTAACAGCAATAAACATATGTATCAAAATTCATTGTTTTAAATTCATTATATAAAGTAACTCATTTAAGAAGTCCTTGCCATGGCTGGGCAGTGGTCAGAGCATTGGCCCACGGACCAGAGGGTCACAAGTTTGATTCCACCTGGATTGCAGGTTTGATTCTCTGGTCAGGGCATTTGGAGGAGGCAACCAAACATTGCGTTTCTTTCATGTCAATGCTTCTACCTCTCTCTCTCTTTCTCTCCCCTTTCTTCCTCTCTTCCACTCTCTCTCTCTTAAAAAAAAAAATCAATGGAAAAAATAACCTCAGGTGAGGATTAAAAAACACACACGAAGAAGCCCTTTAGTCCTATGACCATTTCAAACTGCAAGGGCATCTGGGGAAGCAGGTGTTGAGGAAGGGGAGAGAAATTCATGCCCTGGGAGGGCACCTTGTTGCCCCTGTCCAAACTGGGGTTCTGCCACTTACAAACCATAGAATGCAGTGGAGTGGCTGTGGGATTG